TGTACAGGGTCCTATAGGAAAATAGTGGATAATGTAATGTGTGTACTGCTATAATTTTTGTTTTTTTATTTTTTTATGACTATGCTCAGAATCAAACTCTAGACCGTGAGAGCTATATTGAAACTTTTTAACTATCTGTCTCACCCACGGTGGGTATCCAATTTGAGCTTTGTTACAGGGACCCAAAATATAAGACCAATAGGGGGGACAAGTGAGGTGTCCCCCTCCTATTGGATAATGAGTTAGTCATCATTAATGATGGCCAACTCATTATCCAATAGGAGGGGGACACTTTACTTGTCCCCCTATTGGTCCCATATTTTGGGTCTTTGAGGAATTTTTCAATGAGAAATTGGTGGCACGCTATAAAGGCACCAAATAGCAACACCTAAACACATAAAACAATGACGTGTTATGTTATCTTAATATTAAGTTAAAATTTTTATATGATGGATATTTTCATTCCATAGCTATAATTCTCATCATGACATGTGTCATATGTTAGTTTAATATTAGGTTATAATTCTTATACGATGGATATTTTCTATCCATAACTATAATTCTCATCAAATTAAATTTATCCACGCATTGTAAAAATTCTAATTATAATCAAATATTTGATAATCTTAGTCAAATAGTAATTATCCATAACTAAAAAAAATCAAATAATTATGTTTTTAATTCTCTTTAATTATCCATAATCAAAAAGTCTAATAACCACATCTTTAATTATATTTTTTTTATTCCCTTTTAAAAAATTGTCACATGGATCTCTTTAATTTTTTAAAAGATAAATTTCACTAAACCTTCAGTAATATTAGTCATTTGGCACTAAGACTGCAAAAATTCTAAAACACGGATAAGTTTTAGAATTTCAGAATACCACCGCAACATTTTGATTTTTTGCACTTAACCCCATTAAGAACATTAACCCATAATTTTACACTGATGAACATTATCCCTCAGTGCCAATATATACATCTCAAAATTTCTATTTGTAGATTAACCCATAAAGTTATAGATGACTACTAAACATAACAAAAAATTACAAATAGCCCCCTAAAAATATAAAACTACAAACAATACCTTGAAAAATTGAAAAATCACAAAAACTCCTTTAAATTCTAAAAATTACAAAGAACCCTCTGAAAAATATAAATATTATAAACCATCTCCCTCAAATTCTAAGAAAAATTATAGACAATCCCATTTTAACTCCAAAAACAACAACGACTCCTTTAAAATATTGTAAAAAAACCCCTTGAAATTCTAAAAACGCAAAAAAGACCTCTAAGAATCTAAAACTTGCAAGAGGGCCCAATAATTCAAAAAAATAAAAATACTACCCGGAAATTTTGAATAGTACAGATAGCTCCACCAAAAAACTAAATTTAACAAAGAACTCCTTTTAAAATCTAAAAATTAGCAACAATCTCTTAAAAAGTTTGAAAATTACATAGAACACTGAAAATAATAAACAACTACAGATCCCTTAAAATATTATAAAACCCGACTTGAAAAATCTAAAATTGCAGAAAAGACCTCTACGAATCTAAAAATGCAAGAGGGCCCAAAAATTCAAAAAAAATAAAAAATACTACCAGGATATTTTGAATAGTACAGATAGCTCCCCCCACCCCCCAAAAAAATAAATTAACAAATAACTCCTTTTAAAATCTAAAAATTAGCAACAATCTCTTAAAAAGTTTAAAAATTACATAGAACACTGAAAATAATAAACAACTATTATTATTGGTTTTCTACCAAAAGTTATTGGGGATTAAGTGAAAAAAAATTTAAAAACTTATGCCTTGTTTTCTTCTAAAAGTTATTAGGCATATTTTAGTTATTCGACCATGCAACTAACATTATTAATTTGGAAGCTTTTCTA